GAGAGCCCCCCCCAGGGGATGCAAAGGGAAAGGAGAATAGAGAAAAGGGGATCTTGGATGGGAGGGGTTCTGTGGGAAAGGCTTGGCAGAGGCTCCCCTTCCAAAGTTCCATAGTTTTTTTTTTTAGTGGGGGGTACTGTAAAAGATACAAAAATGTTGCTTTGAATCTGTTTTTGGTGTGAAATTTGTTTACCATTTTAGCATGCCGTTTGTTTCCATTTGTTTGACTCTTTTTAAAATATTTGTATTTTTTGTTGTTTAGTCATTAAGTCGTGTCCGACTCTTCGTGACCCCATGGTGGCCGCAGGTCGAAGCAAAATTTTGCAGCTGGAGCTGGTCGTAATTCAAAATGGTCGTAAGTAGGGACGTACGTAAGTCGAGGCACCACTGTACAGTATTTGGGAATCTGTGAAGGGGGGGAAAGCAACTTGGGAGGATTTGAAGCAGAATGGTAGCTGATGGGGAGTTAAGAACTCACTCAAGCCTACTGCTCTTCAGATTGAAATCCTATGTAGTTTGTGAGTGCCCTTCCCCCTGAGACAGAAGAAGTCTGTTTGCCTGTCTTCGCTTTTTCTTCTTCTAACCAATGTATGCTTATCTGACTTACTTTAGCACTGAGGATATGATGGCCCATCTGAATTCCTTCCAAAGTTTACAATTCATCCTTTTCAGTGTTATTTTTCTAACAAAAGGCCTGCAGACTCTGATGAAGTGTTTGGAATCTAGTATTGTGCAAATAAAAAAGCACAGCTCATTTCCTTAGACACAGCTTATTTTCATTGACTAAAGTAACAGTGTATTAAAAAAATCTGGAGATGTACATAGCATGCTCTCTCAATGAGCTGGTCTCACTTTGAGTGTGTCAGATTGATGATTAGTAATAAGAAGAAATTATGCCACCTCTACATATTGTATGAAGCTAATGTAAATAAAAATGATTTTTCTCTGCAGTTAGAAATTTAAATGCTGCAGCAAACGAAAAGGGAAGCCAAACGATTGCAATGAAATATAAGTGGTTATATAATATGGAGACTGCAGGTAAGGCTCAGTCAGAAGGTACACCTTTGGTCCAGAACCCTTTTACTTCATACATATCAGGGCTTGGTCCTTTGAAGGTTTGTGGGTTTTTTTTTATAAAGCAGCGGTATGTAGACACTGAGTATTATTGTCTCATTAAACTTTTGGGTTGCTTCCCCCTGCCAAAGAAGTCTTGAAGTGCAGATGAAAGAAAACATATGGAATCTGTTTCCTTATTCCATTGTAGCCATTATCAATATAATATGGAAATGCAAATAGATCCAGCAAGATAATATTTAGTTAGTTAGTTAGTTAGTATCCTGACCATCTGGTCTATGCGACCACTGTTACCACAAAGTAATAGAAGGATAAGTAATAAAATCCATAAAACATAATATAATTTTTTAAATAAACAATACTTACAGCCAACATCTCACACCCACGTGAGTCAGTACTAGAACTCTTCAAGAAGGGTGCTAATCCAACGCCATCTCATAGGTCCCTTCAAACTGCACTCCAACCGCAGGATCTTTGGATGTACACGTTTTTACTCATTTACAAAGGGAAGCCAAAGGTTAGAGGCTCCAACTAATGAGATAGAGTATATTTAGCGATATTTTTTGGAGAGAAAGACTTACCGTCTTTTCTCTCACCCCGTCCCCCGATTGTAGCAGAGAGGCCGGTGGGGGGGGGCGGAAATGATAGGGAATCGGCTGACGGTCGGAGTTGCCTCTTCTTATCGCCAGAGGGCGCGCGCGCACAGGAGGCTCCCCGGCTCGTTTCCATAGCGACGGCGTCCGGCCTCCACAACGCCGCCATGGAAGAACCGTTTCCTGCCGTCTTGATGCCGGGCGAAGTCGAAGCCCTGGTGGAGTCGCTGAAGAATTTCCAGTTGCGGGATATCGGGGATCACGGGTATGAGGAGGAAGGAGCCCCGGGAGGTGGGACACCTTGGCTGCCCCCTGGCTGAACCGACCGAGGCAAGGGGAGTTCTCCTTTGCGAGGGCGTGTGAATCCGGAGCGACTGCAACGGACCCAGTCCGCGCCCCCCCCGCGCGCGCGCCGATGGTTACGTGTTTTCCCCCCCTCTCCCCAATTTTTCTTGTGCGTCTAGCCTTCCTGGGTCTTTAACAAGTGTGTGATCGGTTGACACCGAACAAGAGATGCGACCTGTTTTTTGTGCCTGACTTGCAGAAAGAACCACTTGTAGGGTTATTATTTAAGCCCTACAAACCGCGTTCCTTTGGGTCCTTGTGGTGACTTATGCAAAGAGAAGACAAGGGCACAGGGTTTGCAATACAGGAGCCCTATAAAATTACTGCAATACTGTGGAAGAGATTTTGAGAGGCTATCAAATTTTTTGAGGATGTAATTAACAGAAATTAAGACCTCCACTGCCCAGAAACGTCCAGTTCAGGTAATCAGGGGCAGTGTTGTTTCTCCCAGTTAAGAGGAACAGCACTTCTCTTTTCCCTTCCTTTTTGGCTAGTGTTGATTAACCTGGCGTGCTCTGGTCCATGGGGTCTAAGAGTCTGACACGACTACACAACAACAACAACAACAACATTGATTAGCAACAAGATGCCCTGTTTCAAAGGAGGTGAGAGTGATCTCCTCCAGTACTTAGAGTCACATTCAGTAAATATCCTCTCTGACTATCAGCAAGGAGTTGCCTGATAAAGGAAAGACATCTCCTCTTCAAAAAGAGCGGTGGAAGAAGTGATGATATGTGGATAGGATGACCAGTGTAGATCTGTGTTTGTGATTAAGTGGGACCAGGGGTAAGATTTAAATCTCCGCGCTAACTACTCTCACCCTGCTTTTTAGGTGGCAACGTCAACATGAGTATATTGAAAAGTTGAATATGCAGGCCATACTGAGTGCTTCTGCTGGGCATGAACAGCTTCTCACTGAGCTTCTGGTGAACAACGCAAAGGTATTGTGCATTCCTCTCTGACATTAGCACATGATGAAGAATTAATTTTTGTCCCCATGAATAAAGATGAACTCAGTTTTATTTGGTACTTTTATGAAGTTGCTCAAGAAAACATCTCTCTGCTTTAACATTTATACCAGCCTTCCCCAAACTGGTGCTCTCTAGATGTTTTAGAATACAACTGGCATCATGCCCAGCCAGCAACACCTAAAGTTAGGAATGCTGGAAGTTGTAATCCAAAATACCTGAAGTCCAGCAATATCCAGAAGGCCACAAAGAACCCGACTACATTGGCATTTAGCCTGCTGCTTGATCCTCTGCAAGGACAGGTTGGTTCACTTCTAAAGCTGGCAATCAGATGATATCCTTACTGGGGTGAACCAGCCCACCCTGAGAGCAGTCCTACTTGCACCTTTCCAGCCTCTGTCAGTGCCTTTAATGTTTTAAAGAACTCTCTGTTTTGTTTCGCTCCTGGTGTGTGTGATCACGAGGAACAAACTAAAGGCCTTCCTCATTTAATTCACCAATATTGTAAAGTGGCTTAAGAAGAGAGCCACTTCAGGGTATTAGCTAATTAAATACTGTACTTCCTCTGGTCCTTAGCAGCGGGGCAGAGAAAGTTTAAAAAATTTTAGACTCCATTAGGGTGGTGAAATTGTACTGTGTCACATACTAAAAAATAGAAAAATGTTTCCTTTCTCTTAAAAATATACACACACCTACTACACATACTTAACTTGTAATATGCATACCTAAGATACACTTTCAAAAAAGTAGACCAAATAAGGGTCACTTGAGGTCCATTTGCCAGTTATATAGGAGGATTGCACCAAATCAGACCTCTTAGTGACCCTATTTACCACCCAGAGTGGTCGACCAGACCAGATGGGCGGAATATAAATCAAATAAATAAATAAATAAATAAATAAAAATATTTAGTTTGCTCCAGCCCAGCCGTGTAGACAAGTCCAGAGTCTCCAAGCCCAGTCTGCTTTGTAAACAGACCTGTTTATCTGTGTCAATGCAACCATGAGGGAAATCCCTCCACAGACCCACACTATGTATGTTATTTAATCTGAGCCTGTTCTTACAGACTTAATATTTAAGTTGGAAGGCCTTTTTGATTGTACAGATTCCAACACTTATTGAAGAACTTATCACTACAGAGATATGGAAGCAGAAGATCTTCCCTGTTCTATGCAGGCTGGAAGATTTTAAACCAAAAAGCACCTTTCCCATATACTTAGTGGTAAGTATATGGAGAGTTTTTAGATAGAGCGCTATGTAATGCCTTTCATGCAGTAATATGTAAAATTTTATTACGAAATTATGCTTCTACTGCAATTAGGTAGCTTGTTCCAGTCAGTGATCAGTATTAAGAAAATTAAGAGTTAATAAACTGTACTTTGCCAAGTAAGTTTCTGTGATGGATAATGATGCTGTGAAAACTAGAGTTTTAAACTATGTCAGCAAATTAGATGTTATTGAAGGAGAGTATCTGTTCTTCTGAATACTGAAAATCCATTTACCGTTTGGTTTCAGTATGTAATACATGTTGGTTTGCTTTAAAGTAGCCTTAGTCAATATTAACCACAGATTGTATTACATAACAAGCTGTGTTTAAGCAAAAAAAAACCCCAAAAAAAATGGAAGTAAAAACTTCTGAATTCCTCATGCCTGCAAAAATTGGGTTCTGTTTCTTATTTCTTTATAACATACATCTCTTATATTCTGGCTATGCATTTTTCTCCAAGAAGCTGTATTTATCTATTTTATGTTTTATTCTATTCTGTCTATCTCAGTTGCGTCATGAAGCTTCAGTTATCAACCTCTTGGAAACTGTCTTTTTTCACAAGGTAGGTTGCAAATTCAGACTGTAAATTAAAGGTTATAAACAAAAATCTAAAATAATAATCAGTGCAGATGAATCAAGAAAATTCTCTGACAACCTAGGGAATAATTGTTGGTTATTAACTTTATTCCATTTAACCCCTCAGTAGGTGAATTGAATAGGGATAAAAAGCCCAGATTGTTAGTTTAAGAGAATGTTATTTAAAGCTGTATCACAAACCTGAATCCCTTCCCGATAATATTCAGCAAATCATGTCCATTTTTTCCAGAACATGAGTTTAAAGTGTCTCTTCATATGTTAAGATTTAGTGCTGAAATGCGTCTTGCATCTTCATATCGAAAAATGCTACAGAATCTCCACAAAAATATCATATAGGTCTCCTGTATCAGCAGTGGGCTACAAATATGATATTGGGTTGACAGGTTGATATTACATTATGTGTGATTTCACAATACAATTATGCATATTTAATCCTAAATAGAGATAGGGGTGTTCATATTTGTATATGAATATCCCCCCCACAGGTGGAAATAAGGGTCTGACCCCATGGGGCTGGACTGTCCACTCACCATTCCGCTGCTGACACGAGCTCGAAGGAGCCTTCTTATTGTGCCGTTGTCCGCAATGGATTAGCCACTCTGTGACCTGGCAGAGAGGCTTGTCATCCCGCCTCTTGCCGTGAGTGGCGAATCCATTGCCGACAGCGGCACAATAGGAAGGCTCCATCGAGCTCACGTCAGCAGTGGAGTGGTGAGTGAACACAGTCTGGCCCCATGGGCCTGGGCCCTCATTATTTCCACCTGTGGGGGGATATTTGTATACGAATACCCCTATCTCTAGTCCTAAAGCCAAAGGTTGATTCTCAACAAATGTTATAAGAGAGTGAAGCTCAAGTATGTCTTTGTAGTTGGAATTTTTTTGTACAGTATAGTAAAAAGTTTTCACACAATAACTTCCATTGCTGTTTCCCAGTGTGGCATGAATTATTTTCCCTTGCTCTGCTGAGTTGAGGAAGTATGGCCCTGACTACAGCTGATCTGATGTACAAGCAAGTACCTCTGTGCCAGTTCCTTGCCTGGTCTTTTGTCTTTGTGAAATCATAATGGTGCCTACTCCAAACCCAGAAACAACCAAAGAGGGTCAGATCGTCATTGTTTAGTCATGTCCGACTCTTCGTGACCCCCATGGACCAAAGCACGCCCGGCCCTCCTATCTTCCACTGCCTCCCAGAGTTCGGTCAATTTCATGTTGGCAGCTTCACAGACACTGTCCAGCCATCTCATCCTCTGTCATCCCCTTCTCCTCTTCACACTTTCCTAACATCAGGGTCTTTTCCAAGGAGTCTTGTACTGGAGCCTCAGCTTCAGGATCTGTCCTTCCAGTGAGCACTCAGGGTTGATTTCCTTTAGAATTGATAGGTTTGTTCTCCTTGCAGTCCAGGGGACTCTCAAGAGCCTCCTCCAGCACCACAATTCAAAGGCATCAATTCTTCAGCAGTCTGCTTTCTTTAGGGTCAGATACTGTCCCTAAAAGCTGGTTTGTCACCTCAGTTACTCATTACATAACTACGTACTTAGGTCTTCAAACCCAAATATAGTAAATCAGTGAGATGGCTATTACAAACAGCAGTAGTATCAAATAAAGAGAAGGAAATGAAATTGTGAGAGTAAAAAAAATAAGAAAATTCCTACTTTTGGACTAGACTGGAACATTTACTCTTACTAATAGTGCCAAATATGATAGTTGTAAAAGCAGAGGCCTCTTCCTGTTGAGGGCCATCATCTACCCTGTGATGATCCTATAACGAAAGCAAAAATTCATGCCCAAACATTTTGATTTATCTCTCATCAAACCTCTCGCTTTTCTTCCACCCCTATGCAAAATGTCCCTTTCAGTTTCTCGCAGTAAATTTCTAGGGCTAAGCGGTTAGGATCAGTATAATTCAGTCTTTCCCTGCATGTGCCCTAATCTCCATCTTAACCCTCAACAGAATAAAACCAGAAAGGTCATTAGCCAAGCCAAGAACATGCAAAGTAGGAAGGCCTCTTGGGTGAATATATTTAACACATGTATTGGGAATTTGGATTACAGCCTTGACAGCTATATTTTTCTAGAGACACACACTGTGGGGAACCCAGTATATCCAGTGAAATATGAAAAAATTAATTAATAATCTTGTTGTTTGCCTTCATTTTGGAAGATTATTTCTATATCTTCTACAGAAGTCAGCATTTCTGTCATTGTACAGGAAATCTGTGAGTCAGCAGAGGATAGCATTCTGGATTTGATAGATTATAGCCACAGGAAGCTGACCTTATTAGCAGCACAGAGTGCCAGTGGAAAAATACCAATGGAACAGAAGCTGTCGCCTGAGGATCTTGCTCAGCCTTCCTCGATGCAGGTGAGAAAAGGTACATCTCCCACTTGTAGACGGCTGTCACGATTCCATGTGGCCCCTGTTTGTTTCACTAAATCAAGGAGTTCATGCTACGTGTCCCTCAGCTGCCACCAGTTGATTTCATCAGCAATACCTATTATTAATTATGGATGTCCAGGTCATATGCCATTTTAAAAGAACCAAATAGAAATTGTTTATTGATACAGATGTTGACAGAACAAGCAATGTTGTTAACTCTTAAAAAAACATTTTTCTTTATCCACCCTAAACCACCATTCCCCCACCCAAACTCCAAAACTCTCTCAACTCTCTCACCTCTCTAACACTCTAATTCTCCATCTCAAACCTTCTCTATCCAAACTTTATCTAAACTCCTCCTGCTGCTGAGTCTCTTATACCTTGCGACTCAACCCCTCCAGCACTCCCATTGGTCTATGCAAATAGCATATTAATATTCATGACCTGGACGAACACCACAATGGCCTTTTTTGGGCAGAGGGGAGATTGTGTTTTAAAACTTCTTGAGGACATCCAAGATGAAAAAAATCAGGTGTTTCCACAATGCAATTGCATGTTTTTAATTTATATTTCATTTTATACATATTATGGACAGCTCATGGAAGAACTTTTGTAAGCACTAATAAAGCTTTTTTTCTAATCATAGTAATAAAGTTGAAGTCCAAAACACAAAACCTTTTGAAAATCCTAAGCAAAAAAACCCACAAGTACCAACACACTAACTAATATATAATTTATTGAGCTAAAAACCAAAAATGGTCAAGTTTCAGTGTCACAGGAAGTAAAATATAAAGGAGATGTTCACAGATATAAATACTTCACAATAGCTTCAACAGATAATAAAACACATGACCTATGATTATAAGAAAAGATCTTAAAAGGCCTAGCTAGTGCCAAGAAAAAACAATGAAAGTGCCAGGTTATCCTTTCTAGGGATACTATTTATAGCTTTGGAGTACTGTCAAGATGACACTCTCATTCTTGAATAATTTTCATGTGTGTCTAGATACGCTAAGACTAATGATTGCTCAAAGCTACTGTATAATGTTTTCTTCTTTTTATTGATGTGTTTTAGAGATACACTCTGTTTTTTGTTTGTATATTTTTAGGCTATAAGCGCCTGTAATTTTGGATTGAAATATGATTTAAGTTCTTGTTTGCAACTTTTATAGATACAGTGGTGCCTCGACTTACGAACGTCCCTACTTATGACAATTTTGACTTACAACCAGCTCCGGCCACAAAATTTTGCTTCTGCTTGTGACCAGAGCTTCCACTTACGAACCCAAAAAGGCAAGGGAAAAGGGCAGGAAATTCAAATTGTTAACTGTAGGTGGTGCCAAGGCTGCTTCCTTGTAGCTCTTTCGCCCCAGCAGTTATAGAGCATGTGATCAGAGGAGGCTTGGGACTGCCTCCTTCTGCTTCCGAGTGTGTGTGTGTTTGCAGGGAGGCTTTGGACTGCCTGGTAAGGTAAGGTTTTTTGTCCCCCCCATTTCCGATGGGTCTTGGGGGGTTTGGTTGCTTTTTGTAGTGTTTTTCCCATTTCTGATGGGTCTTGTGGGGGTTGTTTGTTTTTTGGTTTCCCATTTCCAGTGGGAGGGGTTGGTTGCTTTTGGGGGGGTTTCCCCATTTCCGATGGGTCTTGCATCCATCCCTTGCTTTTTCCTTTGCTTTCTTTGCCCTTCCGATCTGCTCCATTTGTTTTCTGTGCATTTCTGATGCGTCTTGCATGCTTGATTGCTTTTCTTCCCCCCCCCTTTGGCCGGAAGGGATTGTTGTGTGTGTGTGTGTGTGTGTGTGTGAGAGAGAGAGAGAGAGAGAGAGAGAGAGAGAGAGAGAGAGTGGCCGGAACGGATTAATGATGTTTCAGTGCATTCCTATGGGAAATGGTGCTTCGACTTATGACCAGTTCAAGTTACAACCATCTTCCGGAACCCATTAAGTTCATAAGTTGAGGCACCACAGTAACAGCATATGATAGACATAGATTTTTCTGACTTACATTCTTCCTACGACTTTAATTTTGCTTTTGGATTATTTCATATGTGCATCTTCCCATAACTGTAAGAATTTCTGATGGCAACCATACCTGCAGCTTTTCACAAATTGCAAGAAAGGATTTTTGTTTAAGTATTTGTGCCTACAGTTTTTCCTAGCTGCAAGGCTGATTTCTGTGGGCATAAAATATGCTTATAACTTCTCAAAAAGTTACATATTTTCAGTAACACTTGGATTTTTACACATAGAACCAATGTAGATGAATAAAGCTGTAGAATTTGGAAAGGCATCTGACTTTCTAACGTGGCACTTGGATATTGAATACTGCAGTGGTCCCCAACCTTGGGCCTCCAGATGTTCTTGGACTACAACTCCCAGAAGCCTTCACCACCCCCTCTGCTGGCCAGGATTTCTGGGAGTTGAAGTCCAGTAACATCTGGAGGCCCAAGGTTGGGGACCACTGGAATACTGTATAGGTTCTGTGCTTGGCCTGGCAACTTCCAGCACTGGCCTTCCCAGGTTGCTCCATCTCTATCAGAGTCACAACCACTGCTGGAGGCATGAACTACATTTTGTTTATCTTAAGCTTGAAGAAAAACCAACTTTAGAAACTTCTCTTTTCTCTACTAGTAGCTGGCAACATCAGAAGAGGGTTTAAGCCATACTGTAGCTGCATATATCATGGGCAGTGACTCTAGGACAAGGAGAGGAATTAGTAAGATTGTGTTATGTGGCTTTTGCTACTTTTAGGAGTTAAAGAAACAAGCCGAGATGATGGAATTTGAGATCTCATTGAAAACTCTTTCAGTGTTCCGTTTTATTACTGGTCAAGTAGAAAGGTATGTTCCATTTTCATGGAAGAACAGAGGTAAGCACTTGAGGAAAAGATAAGGTGTTGTTTTTCTAAAGTCCTTTGTCCAGAGGTTCCAAATTGTAGCCCACAGACCACTGATGGCTTTCAAGCTCCATTCTGGGGTTCCACAGAGGGTTGTGAAGCCACTGAAAATATCTGTACTTGCCCTTCTACTTTATTAGTATAGGTTTGGGTTTGTTTTTTTTTTACTGCAACCAAATTATCAAACATACTAACAAGGCCTTGCCTAGAGTCCATGCCTCTCCAGTTCTGACAGTTATAATAACACTGAAGAAAACATTGTGTATGTTTGTACTTTGATTTATGGGGGCGGGGGAGAATGGTTCATTAAGCTGTCTGTTAGGACAGAGACCCAGCAGTTCTTCATATGGTTAATGAAATGACAGGGCAGGAGAAGATACTTTAAGAATTGCTTCCCTAGCCTGATACTTTAAAACAGGGGCAGGCAACTCTTGTCCTGCCAATAAATCTCCTGTCACCTGCAGGGGAGAGACACAATTTTTAAAAAAATAATATTAAAAAAATTGTCCACAGCTCAAAAAGTCCCCTTGTGTCAAAAGATTTTCCATCTTTTGAGGGACCCACAGATAAGATATGGTTATTTGAGGTCCGCCTTGCAGGAAAAGGTACTGCCCTCCAATGTCCAAGGATGGCCATGTGTGATGTTCAGACCTCTGCAGTATTCCCACTTCTGCTTTAAAGGCTGTCAGAATCATTTAGTGCATAGCATAGAGTCTTGCTGGCCAGCTCCCTATACTACCTACCGTGTTCCCCTGAAAATAAGACAGGCTCTTATATTATTTTTTGCTCCAAAAATGTATTAGGGCTTATTTTCAGGGAATGATTTATTTTTTTCATGTACAACAATCTACATGTATTCAAATACAGTCATGTCATCTTCTGGTTGCTGCACAGTGGTGGCGGGCGGGGTTTCACTTAACTAGGGCTTATTTTTGGGGTAGGGCTTATATTACGAGCATCCTGCAAAATCATACTAGGGCTTATTTTCAGGGTAAGTCTTATTTTAGGGGAAACAGGGTACAGGTGCACATTCTTTCTTCATTATTGGCAACAGGTGCATCCTGGCATGACTACAACTGAGATACAGTGGTGCCTCGCTAGACGATGTTAATCTGTTCCATTGAAATAGCTGTCTTGTGAAAACATCGTCTAGCGAAAAACGTTTCCCCATTGGAATGCATTGAAACCCGTTTAATGTGTTCCAATGGGGGGAAATAGTCGTCATCCAGCGAAAATCGCCCATAGGGAAGTCATTTTGCGAAGCGCCGATCAGCTGTTTAAATCGCTGTCTTGCGAAGCATAGGTCCCGAAAACACCCGTTTTGCAAAGATCTCCCATAGGAAAGCCATTTTGCAAAGCCGCCAATCAGCTGTAAAAATTGTTGTCTTGCAAAAAACGGTCTGCGAAGCACGGACCAAATCATCGTCCAGCGAAATCCCCATTGGAAAAACCATTCTGCGAATTGTTAAAGTCAACGTCTAGCAAAAAAAAAACATTTTGTGGGGTAATCGTCTTGCGAGGTACCACTGTACTTGTTTTTATCACTTTTTTGCATTTTAATTGTAGTATGGTGAACTTCAATAGCTTTATTGCATAAAATTTGCATTTTTATCATCTTCTTTTTCTCTGCCATATGTTTTGCCAGTTTGCCAGTCAGTGCTGTGACAAGGATGCTGAATACCCACAACTTTCCATGTCTTTTAGTACAGTTGGTAGAACACTGTGCATGGAAGTATCGTGAAGAAGGTGTGTATTATGTGTCAGACTGTCTCCATCAACACACTGGTGGAACAAACTGCCATGATTTAAAGATGTTTACCTTGCTCCAGTTGATACCTTTCCTGTTATTTAAGTTAAGGTATGATCAGGGTTTCTGGTGTTTGGGTCCTTTTTTGTTGATAGTTTGCACTTGAGATATTAAAAATCATTTCCCAACCCTATGTCCCTGCACTTAGAATTGCAGAGCTAGAAGGGACCACATGGATCATTGAGTCCAACTCCTTGTCAAGGAGGCACAGTGGGGAATCAAACTCCCAACCTCTGGCTGCACAGTCATACACCTAAAACACTGAGCTCTCTGTTCAGAACATATGACATATTGATATTAGTAATGGCTTTGTAGTGTAGCTTTTTTTTCCTCCACCAACTTCCAAAGACTGTGGCTGCCTGCATCAGCCAATATTCATCTTGTCCTAATCAGTTGTTCTTGATTAGGGTGCCACTCATTGCAGATAGTGGTGTACGCCAGAGAGAGGAATGTGTGTGTGTGTGTAAGATTACAATGTAAACCATATGCATATTTATTTATTTTATATGATCACTCTAGGCTTGCAAATCTTTCATAGAATCATAGAAAAGTGAAGTTGGAAGGGGCCTACAAGGCCATCAAGTCCAACCCCCTGCTCAGTGCAGAAATACAATCAAAGCATATCTGTCAGGTGATTATCCAAGTTTTGGAGTACTCACCAGCTACCTAAGTAACTGGTTCCACTGTCATACTGCTCTGTTAGGATATTTTTGATATACAACTGAAATCTGGCTTCCTTTAACTTGAGCCCATTGTTGTGTGTCCTGCACTCTGGGATGATTGAGAACAGAGCTTGACCCTCCTCTGTATGACAGCCTTTCAAATATTTGAAAAGTGCTATCATTCCACCTCCAGCCTTCTTTTTTCAAGGCTGAACATGCTCAATTCTTTCAGCCTTTTCTCATAAGACTTGGTTTCCAACCCCCTGATCGTCCTTGTCACTCTCCTCTGAACTTGTTCCAATTTGTTAGCATCCGTCTTGAAGTGTGGTGTCCAGAACTGGACATACTCAAAATGAAGCCTAACCAGTGCTGAATAGAGGGGGACTAGCCACTAATGGGATTTGGAAACTATACTTCTATTAATGCAGCCTAAAATAGCATTTGCCTTTTTTGTAGCCACATAACACTGTTGGCTCATATTTAGCTTGTGATCAACGACAGTTCCAAATTCCTTCTCGCTCGTAGTTTTGCTGAGCAAGGTATCCTCCATCTTGTAACTGTGCAATTGGTTTATTTTTCCAAGGTGCAGTACTTTGCACTTATCCCTGTTGAATTTCATTTTGTTGCTTTTTGTTGCTCTCAGAACTTGGTCCTAAGAAATCAGCATGAAAACAAAACCATGATTATTTTCCCATGACCTATAAAAGAACCAAAATGGACTGATTTGCTAAACATGGTTTGAGGAAAATTTGTCTTTGAATAAACAGGCAGTCTTTTCCTGTCATAGATGCTCTGCTTCCTATTACATATGTATGGTTAGATTACCCACACAGGCCAGAGAAAAATGATCTTTAGAGTGTCCCTTTCTTCCAGCTTCCTCACTCCTGTTGTCATTCGTTCTTTCTTTTCTAGCTATCTCTTTTAGGCCTTTTCCTTCTTCCTTTTGTCACGTTAAAATTGTGGCTTTTATATGCATTAGGTGGTTTACTGTTACCACAACCACCATCCCAACGAATTTTCACAGCTGAATAGAAATTTGAATCAAGGTCTGCTTAGTCCAGTTTTTACACCCTATCTACTACATATATAAAAAGATCAACTGCTGGATTGCTCAGTGGTTGAGGCCTCTTGCTGTGGTGCCAGAGGTTGGAAGTTCAGTTCCCCACTGTGCCTTCTTGACATGGACTAGGCTTGATGAGCCATAGGGTCCCTTCTAGCTCTGCAGTTCTAAGATGATTAGAAAAATAATGATGTGCAGAGCAATGAATGACAAATGGCAGTCCACTCAAGAGATGAGGCGTGTGCTCCTAATTTCTCACATTTATATGTATGAGCAGATAGTGCTTTAAAAAATCAGCTAGCCAGGCAGTAACCCAGCATCATGACTGGAGGACATATGTTTGTAGAAGACATACAGTATATAAACATGTCTAGGTATACTACAGCATGAAATACAGTAGAATTTGCACTTGTTTAGATGCAATCTAAAGTTAAAACATAACGAATGATCTTATGTTAATGTACCTTGAAAAAAAATTATAGTCATATTCTGTTGTACTGATTGTATCCTTTCTGTGGCTCTTCCTAAAGATTCACACCTAGAATAGAAACTTTCTCAGAATTCATTAATATGCTATGTGGTGCTATGCAGATATTCTGTTCTGACCTGGAGGGGGAACAGTAAAAGAATCACTGACCAGAAATAGGTATGGAGCTTCAGTTCTGTCAATGGGAGACCCCGAAGGGAGGCCCCTTGCCACCTAAAAGCTACAGAACCAGAACCATATTATGTTATCATTAAGACCCCAAAGGACTTCATAAATGATCAGGATGGAAGCAATCTGGCCATAAGTAAATGGGCAAGTCAGACAATATTGATATTCTCTGTTTCTCATGGAATGGGCAGTCATTATTATTTTATTATTCATTATTATTTGTTTGATTTCTATATTGTCCATCTATCTGGCAGCCAGGGCCACTCCGGCGGTTTACAACAGATAAACAAACAACAGAATAATACATATACAAAATAATAATAATAATACAATTGGGGTGTAAATCAAATATCAAAGTGCAATAAAAGCAAATATAATACAATAAATTACAATTAAAAGCATAAAAGGTATTTATCACATTTGTATATGCAAAATTTCTTTTTTCTTAGGCCAGAGACTTGACTTACTTGATCTATATTCATCATGGTTAAGTTATCTCTTGTAACAATGTATATCTTCCTGTATTGCTGTGGACTGTCCCCACTGCACCCCTACCCTACAGGGAAGCTGAAGACATTTGAGAATGGTACATGGTACGAGGTGCCCCCTGAAGACCATGTGAAGATGACTAAATTGGATGGGCAGGTGTGGATTGCTCTGTACAACCTGCTCTTGAGCTCAGAATGCCAACGCAAGTACAACTTCAACAACTTCAACAAAAATCAGATCCTGAAGGTATGGTATTACACAATTTGCAGACTATATATATACTTCTTCTCACATTTAATTTAGCTTAATAGGGTATAGTATTCTAGTTTTAAAAATAGATCAGTAACCAGGATTGGGAATAAACAAAACTGCATCAGATAAGACGATATATCTGTAAATAATATAGGGTTGCAAGCCATAATTTGGAAAATTAGTAGGACAATTAAGTCAATGATTAGTCAATGGTGAGCAATGTGTATTTGTCCAACTATATCTAAGGTATTTTGATATTTTGGGAAAGGGTGTTTTGTTCTGCTATGTTACTAAACAGAGAACATTGAATATGTAAAGTCTTTTGTTTATTGTATTTTTAATTTCTTCATATCTCAAAGACAAAGGAAATTTGCTTAAATATAATGGATTAATAAATTTATTTAGTTTTGTTAGTCTCATCATAAAATAAGTTCTCTCGGTGTAAAATAAAATTTAAAACAGAACAATAACAACAATAATACAAATAGATTTAAATTCAGCACTAAAAAGCCTAAAACTAATGCAAGAAAATGAACAAATGGAAAACATAAAATTTACATGGGAAAAACACTGAAACTATGCTGAAAAGTTAAAAACTAACCAACTGCCTGTGATTAATGTTTGCAAATATTGAAGTGGCCAGAGAATAAAGTTGATTTTTACTCCAGATAAGAAGTGAGACTGGACTGGAGGATACGGCTAGTTTTCACTGATGTAAAAAAGAGGGAATTCTCTTGCCTAAAGTCTTTCAACTTAAAATGAGAGTTGAAGGATTGCTTGTGCAAGACCTTTTGTGCTGAGAAAATACGAGATGACTACAGGTTTCCTACAACACTCTCAACTGATGGCCTCCTTAGCATTCTAAATGTTATACAGCTGTTTTCAGAGTTTTTGTTAAGCAGTAGAGATTGGCTAATGCCAACTTCATTATTTTGCTTAAATATAGGTTAGATCTAAAAGAAAAAAAACATAAAGCTGCATACTTTCTTGGACTGTTTTATTTTTAATATGAGTAACTTTTTATTGTTGTCACTGAATTTAGCTCCGTGCCTTTCTGACTGATGTCCTCATTGATCAGTTCCCCAATCTTTTGGAGCTGCAGAGGTTCCTGAGCCATCTTGCTGTGGCAGATCCCGCTCCACCCAAGAAAGACCTCATATTAGAGCAGGTATATGCAACACCACTCTTTATTTACTGCCCGTACTGTTCCTCTTCCTCTGTTTTCCTTCACTTTGTTTTTTTAACTGCATGGATTCTTACAATTCCAATTCTTACCTAAAGAGGGAAATATGCCCTGTTTCACTTAGGCAGCATAATATTATCATCCAAAAACATAGGTAGTACATATTACCAGACATTAACCTTGAATTTGTAGCACAAGAGCTCTGTCACAAATTTGTATTAGTATTATATTGTATTATTTACATCAATACCTTTTCCTTCCATTGTGGAACTCAAGGGAATATATCAAAGGTCCCTGATAGTCTTCTAAACACTGACTGAACCCAGACCTGCTAAACTTCAACAAGGTTATGGTCTATTAGGCTTCTGATAAAAACTCAAAAGCTTAAATGTTCTTGCCACACTGACAGCTTAGTATCTGGCTTTCCATGAGCAAATTACCTGGAGCATTTGGATCTGTGTAAAAGCTTTCTCAGAATCTCATACAACAGAGGAAGGCAGAAGATTCATTCTGGGTCACTAGACATACAGTATTTGATGTACTACCTGATGCCTGTTGGTTGCTGAAGGTTTTACAAAAACTGCTGAAGCAAACCGGCATTTGCATGATCCAACAAAGTATTTACACCCTTAAAGCAAGAGTATATGTTCAGGATTGTTTAAGATTAGTTATGGCTTAGCTGTTTAAAGACCCTGAGTGTGCACTCTTGCTCCTGATATTTTAAACATGTTAAATTACCTATGGGGATTCAAATGAAAACAAAACAAAACAGACTATGCAGGACTGAAATCAGTCTACTCTCTCATACAAAATAATCTTTTAATATTACATTAATACTGTATTTGCAGCTGTTGTGCTTTTCTTGAGAGCCTCCCTTCCCCAGCTGCAGAGTTTTTCTTCATACTGCAGAAAGTCTATCAGAATGAAAGCCAAGCTTCAAGTCTGATGAGCCAGCCAATATGACCTCTGTGATAAATAATATAACAATCAGGAAATTCACTCTTTGTAGTGTTTTAAAAATCAGATTGCTATATACATAGATTTGGAATGGTTTATGAAACATTCTGCTGCAAATGTCTAGAACCCTGTCTTGACAAGAGAATAAACTGTATCAAGTCAGTATAGTGAAAGATTTGGGTTGCCCAAAGCTGCTGCAGTTGATTTCAAGTTCCTGCATTGGTAGACGGTTTACATTCTTTTAAAAAAGAAAAGATATTGTACCACTTAACACTGTTTGCTTTTAGTTGTTTGAACAGAATTCAGAGATGTTTTGTAGCACACAGATGGGCCTATCTATGAGCAGAAACAACAACAAGATATATTCAGAGAATCCTGAGATTAGATTATTAGGAGTTAAAGTTTCTTTTATGACAACAAGAGAGCAATATGGACCTCTTCCTAACAGAATTTAATTCAGTAATATAAAAGTGTACTGTGTGCACCCACCTTGCTGGATCTAGTGTGTTTGTACTTGAATTCTTAATGCTGAAAAAGTTCTGATTTTAGTTTACACTAGTAACAGTACCTGAGATTCAGCACTCTTGAGAGTCTAGTGGAGGGAAACTGCAGCTACACTGTGTACACTCTGGTACAGCAAACCTCCCAACAAGCTATGAACTCACCACTGTCTGCATGCCAAGCAATTATGAAAAAGCCTTTTTCCATTTCTTGCTTTCCACAGAGAAGTCCTTCATGCTCAGTCTCTGCACTGCTATTTTTATTTGGCATCAGCTCTTTTGAACAGCGACTTTTCTTGAATAAAAATTCAGCACCCTTTGCCAAAATTTTCTCTCACATTTGGAAGGTCTTCACTGGGTGTTTCTTTTCAGAAAATGGACAAATCAGAGGTTCTATTTTTGGAATACTTTCAGCTGTGTGGCATATGTTGAGACATACTAGATCCATAGTTCAGGACAGACTTTTCATTCTCTGAATATTACAGTATTTGCGACTAGTTTCAGAATGTTGACTTACACAGTATTCAAGCATTTTCTTTGTTGAAAGCCTGAGTGCTGCAAACTGTACTGTAAATATATAATTACAAGTTAGACATAGAAGAACATTTCTGGAGCTTTCCTGTTCAGAGTGCCATGCTCCATTGTATTTCTGCTGTCTTAAATTTTATTGCCCCAACAGAGACTGCATGTTCTGTGCCCAAGAAACATGTTTCACTTTTACACCCTATGGTATGTTAATAGTGTCACTTTGGCTATGCAAAAATTGCCACTTGAAAAATGTGCACCGTTGGCAAATATTATAACAAGAATATGTTGAGCTGTTCCAGACAGAACACACAGAGGCAGCTTTTCCTTCTTCTTTTACACTCCTTTGCCTTGCAAGGTGCTGAAATATACCAGTACTGTATGTAACGAAGGTGACAGGCTGAAGAGCTCAAACAGGGGTCAGAGAGAAAAATATAACCCCCTGCTTCCCAGCCCCATGGGGTGATCTACGCCCCTTCCTCTCAATGTTTGGAGTTCCAATTTCAAGGAAGGGGGAAGAGGCACAGGGAGGGTGGCAAGTGGGCAGCTCTGCAGTGAAGGTTCCATAGTCTTGCCAGGCCCCAGACATGCCATGCCTTCTCCAGCATGGCACTCTCCAGGTGTATTGAACTGAAATGCTTTAAAACTGAAATCCAGTTGAGAGCGGGAGTGGGGGGGGGATTCCATGCCACCACCATCATTCCCCACCAGAGGTTCCCTTTCATCCATTGCTAGCTAATATTTGGTTGTTTTTTCTTTCTAACGGCAAGACAAACTTGAACCCAGTCACAGTTGCTCCCAGCTGGAATACACCAATTATTGCAGCATCTCCTCCTCTGACATCTCACATCTCCCCTGCACCGCCATCCTTTGGTTATTTTTTTCTGTCTCTGTTTAAACATTCAGGAAGTGCCGTAGAATAAAACCATCAATACTCTACTTTCGAATGCAGATACTAGGTTTGTTTTCAAACAAAAAAAGGAGGGGGTTACAAAACACTTAAGTCTGGGTACAAAAGCATAATTAAATGGCACAAAAAACTCCAGAGAGTTGAAGAGGGACAACAAAAAAAGATGTGGGAAATCCATCACCAAATCTTTCTCCCTGTACATATCAAGATAAAGGGCAATATCACCCAAATGGCAGGAGAAATCCCAGTAAGGTCTGTACTTGAGGGGAAACATAAAAAGGTACAAATGTCCCATCTTGGACTGCCTTTAAAATACCTGAATCTGATCAATTTACAAGAAATAATGTTAATAATCAGTTGTTCATGTAATAAGTTATTGAATCAGCCACCAATACATTTCTACACAAAAAATGTCAATGTTTGGTACATAGAAGGATTATGCAGTTGCTTGATTAGTAGAATAGCCTGAATGATGGGGGTGGGAGAGATAGCCGTTGTTCTTTCATCCATAAACCTGTCCATAAGTGAAATCTCTTGTATCCCCACCCCACACCACTAATGGTGTGTCCTGAGTCAGCACCTTCACCAGAAGTAAAATTGTTTTTGCACAATAGAAGGTGTACAGGCTCAGTGTTAAGAAAGCTTCAAAACTTTTCATTTCTTCCCATTTGAGATGTGAGGCTGCATGCTAACAATGGCCTAGGGGTAAAGCAGATGTCTGATGGGGGGAAAGAATGTAGCAAGTTTTAAAAAAAGCACAAGCAGAATTTAAGTTCATTTGAACAGCATCCTCTCTTGCTGAACTTCACCTCCACCAACTAGCACAGTCTATAATGAATGATGGTGGGAGTGGGACATGAATGAATGTGACTCTGAGTCCCTTCAAATTCAGTTTGATATAGGTAGATGGCAGGTTGGAAGAAAAAGTGCATTGTATCACCATTCTTTATTTCCAGAAAATAAATCATCCTTTTTTTTCTGAGACATATCACATGATTGTAGCATCTTATGAGACTACAACCTGGGCCTAGAGCCATAGAAAGTATCCAACTTTGTAACCTGTCCATACTGTTCCATTGTCTTCCAGCTCAGTCAGAGCCTTGTTGCCAGATCAGTTATGTATCTGTCTTTTTGCTCATTCCATCATACAAAAGTCCAGACTGGGAGGAATCCTCAGCCCTTTTTGCCAACAAGAAACAGTCAGCTGTGCTGTGTATGAAACAAACCAAAGATTTCCTCAATGCCGTTCAGTAGGTGGGCCATTGCACTGGTTGGTAGTCCAATCCATAGGCCACATATCAGTAAGACAGACCAGTTCACATGTCTAGATGCTTTCTGTCCAGTGTACCCTTGTAAACTAAAAGTAGGACCTGATTAACAGGAACATCTGGAGAGCCAGAGTTCCCCAAACCTGGCCTAGAAGAAAGACACTTTGACATCTTAAATAGTTAATACAGAAATTTCTTTTGCTTGGCTTCTGTCCAGTAGTAAATAAATCTGTTCAATGTTCCTTCAGATAACTCCCTGTTCAAATACAGTACTGTATATCCTTAGCCTTTTCCTTCCCTCACTTAGACACAGACAACATCCTGCTTTTTTCTTTGATGTCAGTTTATGTTTATTATCTCCAGATGTGATGCTATTCTGCTGCACTCTAGGAATTATTACTATTCTTGAATCCTTTGCTTGAGATAAATGCACTTTTTATTCTGTTGCTGTCTTGACAGATTCCTGTGATTCGGGATCAAATAATCAGAGAAAATTCTGGAAAATGGCAAGCAATTGCTAAGCACCAGGTAAACAATATGTTTAGTCCTTCAGAGGAGGAGCTCAAAGGCCAGGCACGCAGGTAGGACTTCCCTATGCTTCCCTCCCTACCATATGAAAGATTTTGTGGTAGATAGACTTTACTGCCAGCCATTAAATGCACAGAATTTATTTGAAGCTCTCACAGTTAAAAGGAAGGAAGGAAGAAAGAAGGAAACAACCTTTCTGAGTTCTGCTTTGCTTAAGAGCCCACCAATGAAAAATGACTTTTTGTAATAAAATCTAATTATACTCTTAGATCTTGTCATACAAAGAGAATTAGTTTTATTTAGAGATAAAGCTATGCAGAAAGCAGTCTAGCAAAAAATAGAAATCATGTCATTCCTCACAAAATGAAATAGAAATCATGTCATTCCTCACATGAAACTATACTTGTTATGCCCATCTAATTATGGGTTGATATCCTTGGCTGGTTTGTCTTATGATGATTTGATATGACCTGTTTTTATTACTGCTTTCTCTGCTATCATTGTTATTGCTTAATATATTGTTCTATTGTTGCTTTGATCTTACTTGATTGTTAACTGCCTAGAATAGTGTTTTGCACTAATGGCATGACTTTTTATGGTATCAGAAAGCTAACATTCATAGCCGCCTAGAGTGGTCGCAATCGACCAGATAGGTGGGGTATAAATGAAATAAATAGATAGACAGACAGACAGACAGACAGTCAGACAGAGAGATGGAGGGAGGGAGGGAGGGAGGGAGGGACGGACGGACGGACGGACATAAACTTGCTATAAGTCTTAGATGCCAAGCAAGAAATTAAGCTGTGCAGTACCAAAGGAAAGAAATGCAAGAATGGCCAGTCCTGTAACAGTCTTTTGATTATTCATGGTCAATTACGGTACATAGAGCTTCTCTGGCAAAGGAATTGGATTCCCTGTCACAGCTGTTCCATAGTTTGTCTTGCCTTCTTTTTTGAGTCTTTGCTCCATAGCTTCCACTTACCTGGCAGAAGACAATTCCAAAGACTGTTTTTCTAGGAACAAATTCTAGTTTTCTTTTTTTAAAATTGTCTTCAGTATCACTTCAGTATCCATAACAAGTGAGCTTCTCCAAATAAGAAAATGGTCCTTCAAAATATCTGAAGTTGCTTCTGTCACTTCTCAACACTTTCATGCTGAACTAATTACCTAGTTTGCCAGTCTTTCTGAATAACATAATTGCATACTATCAAGTTGTTTCTGATTTATGGCAGCCTGTTCCAGGGTTTTTTTTGGTATATGGGGATGCTTTAGGACTGTGTAGTTTGCCCAAGACCACATAGGCTGACCTTCTTCCTGAAAGCACAGTCAAGAATCAAACTCCTAACTTCTGGCTCCCCAGCCACGCACCCACTCAGATATTCTAGTCCAGAATTCTAGGTGTAAAAAAACTCTGGAAAGAGGGTTTTTTAACAATGTGAGCTCTTTGTATATACAACATGAATTAATAGTAATTGCATGTCATCAAATTGATTCTGAGTTATTATAACACTTCTTAAGTTTTCTAGGTATAAAGTACTGTACTCAAAAATTGTTTACCATTACAGTATCTTCTTCTGGTGGCACTCTGAGACCATGTATCTTGCCCAAGCCAAATAGGCTATTTATTATTTTACAAGGCATATTGGGGAATTGAACTCCTGGCCTCAAGCATGCCAATTCAGTGAGCTATCTAGCCAACTGTACACAGCACACACTGGTATAAGTTATATGACACTGGGCAAAATCCTGTTGTGTAAGGTCACCCCAGTGTGAAGTAGATCTCATGCTGAAAATAGTTAATTTAAATGAACTGAAAGTTTCCCATTCGCCATTTCAAATTTTCAGCACTCCACTGTTGGAACTCAAGATTCAAAATAAGAATCATACTCCACTAAAAGAGTCATGAGTCCTTTTAACAGCACTTAGTATTCTACTGAATACAATATCAATCTGAAATTTGGAAGTTCCACCCTGGTTTAGATTGTAAATATTGAGTAATTATTGGAATTGTCTCTTGTGAATCTTGCTGAAAATTGCTTTTTATCTTAAACCAGATGGGCTAAAACATACAACCTAGATGTAATGGAAGCCCTGATCCCAGACAAGCCTAGGTGTGGGATGTGTGGTTCTCAAGCAGCAAAACGCTGTTCCCGTTGTAGGAATGAGTGGTATTGTAGACGGTAAGCACACCTAACATATGAGTTGATCTGTTGGTGACAGCTTCAAAACTACTCACAAAATCAGAAGCCACTACCATATTTTTCTATTTATTAAGATGCCCCAATGTATAAGACAACCTCCACTTTTCTAACCCCAAATTAGAAAATTTGATTGCTGCTTTCCCCGTCACTTCCCAAGCCTGGGACTTAGCAAAGGGAGGGGAAAGCAGCGTTCAAAGTGATCCTGCAGCCCTTTGACTGCTGCTTTCTCCCTACTTTTGCTAAACTCCATGGGGCTTAGCAAGTGGAGGGGGAAAGCAGCAATCAAAGCGCGGCAGGATCACTTTGAACCCTTCCCCCTCCACTTTTTTTGTTCTCTTCTCAGCTTACCTCCGTGTATAAGATAACCCTCGATTTTTAGTCTAAAAATTTTAGACAAAAGTATTGTCTTATACATGGGAAAATATGGTAATTTGAAGCCTAGGTTCTAATCTAAATGCTGTTTGACATCTCACTACTGGGTTTCAGTCAATAAGTTGTTTCAAACTTACTGGACAAAATTCTGTTGTATAACTTTGCATCTGGCACAACTCAGAACAGGCACCAAAAACATTTAATTTATGCTTTAAAAAAGCTTCCTATCTCGCAGTTTTAGATTTCCAAGGGTCCTGAGGGTTTCCTTTGCCCTGGGTAAGTCTTTGAGAGCCACAGGATTGTGAGGAGGGAGTTTTTAAAAGTCAAAGATTACTGCTGAGTCCATAGTAGCAGTCCCAATCTCGCTGGTAGCACTCCAGCTGCATTTTTTTAACCTTTGAAGTCTCCCACCCAAAGTTTCCAAAGGCTTTTCCAAGGCAAAAGGGAGCCCAAAAGAGCCTGAGACTCTAAAATGTGGACAATAGCATAAATAAAATATTTCTGGTGTCAGATTCAATTTGTGCTGGGCATTAAGTTATGCAACAGGGTTTTGCCCTTTGTTTTGATATTTTTCTAAATATTTTAAATATTTCAACTGCTATTGCAGTTTTGGTTGATGTCATTTTACCGTAGCCCACTATAGCATTGCACTGTCCAAACGACTACAGATTCTGTCAACCCTTATCATTAACCAGGTGATTAGAGTCATAGTCCAAAATGTTTGGAGGGCACCAGGTCAAAAGGATGGTTCCGTGCATAAAGTGCAGTCTTTCAGTTGTTGCTGGATTGCAGCTCCTATCAGTCCTAGCTAGCATACCTACTGGTGAGTACTGCTGGGAGCTATAGTCCAAAAACTGAAGGATTATGCTTTCTCCATCCCAGATTTGGTGAATTTTGTTTTAAAACATGAAGAATTTTTGATAGTTAACCCAAAATCTTAAGAATGAGAGGTATTTTAAAATAAAAAATAAATAGATATGCCCTTATGCCACATGTAAAAGCAGCATTAGGTATTTTGAGGTCTATATATTAACAAGTAGCTGTAAAGAATAAGCCCAGAGATACATTCATGATGCCAAGCATAATCTCTGGATGGATCAGTAGATTCCAGATGATCAGAGAAATCCAAATACATTTGCCTAAGTGATTCAGCTACATTCTTACTATCTCTTTGTCAGCAACTCATCTGAATTAACAAAAAATTTGGAAAGCATGAGGCTTTACATTTTCCTTTGTGTACCTTTTGTTAGACAAAAACACACAATGTGAAATGCTACCATTAAATCAGAGCTCCAAAATTAAAATAGCAACTTCTTATCTTGCAATAGCTTGGCCTTAGAAGTGAGCTGAAGGAACAATACTTTTCAATATTACCTTCTCTAGATTATACAGTTGGTTATTCTTTTAACAATTCTGGTAGAATCTATAGTTTTGATTACTTTTACAAGTGGCAACTTTGAATGCCTAAAATCATTCACAACTTAGAGTAGATTCTCCCACAAAAGATTACAGTATATAGAGAGGGATTATTGCTTCACAGCCAATGATGCCTCTCCATGCAGGCTGTTAAGCTTCATTGGAGGATATCCACACAGTAGCAGTAGGAGGTGGCAATAGTTTTATTTAAAACATGGATCAAATCCACTCTGCTACATTCACTCTCTTCTTACCCACCTCTCTTGTTGCCATCCAAAATAGCTTAATTATGTAGCTTATACTGATATGTTAGTATCTGTATTCCATACTTACTGCCAATCTCATGGCTATTGTTGTTAATTTGGCTTTATGTCTCTACCTTTTGCAGAGAATGTCAGGTGCAGCATTGGCAGAAGCACAAGAAAGCTTGTAATTTGATGGCTGATGCCCTGAAAAAAATACAAGAAGATGTTCAAATGCAGACAACAGCTACCAACTAATTTTACTGGGCAGAATTTTCTCCTGTTCCTGCTTCAACATATAGACAAAATTGAGGTTACAAGAGAACTGTTCTTTACTTTGCCACCCAAAATACATAAGCTTTGTGGTCATGTTGCATACTGCCTTAGATCAAGTGCCTCCCTCCATGCTTGTGGCATAAAAACAAAGGATTATTTGTAGCAGAGGTGAACATTGCACTACTACTATGGTGTCCACATATCTACTTTGAGATTAAAAAACCCCTGTGCCTTTGTTTTTACAAAAAGGATTTTTGAAGATGGTCATGACCAGATTCAGAAGGCACAGTCCTCTTATTCAAAAACAATCCTGGAAGATCTAAGGAACTTAAGTATGATCTTGAAATTACAAATATATTCTTAATTCTGGACATCAGTCTTACATCTTTTTGCAACTCACATGTTCCATGCAACATGTATAACTATATCCCAATGAACCATTTTTTCATGAAAGAACCATTTCTGAAATGGGTGATTGAAAACAGAGAAGTACAGTTAAAAAGATGGCACTTAACAATTTCTCTTATTAATTTCTCTTATTCTCTTATTTCCCGTGCAGCTGTCTCTTGTACTACAGGGTATGAAATGTGAGTAGACTGACAGGCAGCATAATAATCCATCCCATCTAGTTTCTAAATTGCACAGTGTTACTTTAGAACCACTAAGTGATAAGCTATGGGAGGAGGGGGAGAAAGGATGTGGTTAATTATAACTCTAGTTGCTGAGCCGCATGATTTCACAATTGAGAGCATAACACATGACATCTTCACAGCTGCTTAGGCAGCTATTATTTAATCCTTGCTTTGTTGTTAAAAATTAAACTTACAGTAATTATTTACCAGATATGAGTTTTCGCCAGGATAAGTGAAAACCCTTAAAAAAAGTCCTCATGAGAGTAAATTGAATACTTATTGGAAAGTACAAAGGAAGTGTAATCATCCTAAACAGATACATCTGTCTAAACAAGAAAATTGTTTTAAAGTAAAGTCTTGGTTGATGGCTTAAAGATAAATTTAATTGGTCAATTAAACTTTAACACTACAGGTGAATTGTTGCTTTGGCTACAGGTGCAGACCAAGAATAGTGTTTAATTCCAAAACTAAATTTTCACAAACCTTGTTATGTTCAGAGCTATACTCTTCACAGCTGGTTGCTTAAGGAAAAACATCCAGTTCATTTGGCAATAAAGGCTGCTGCTCAGAACCCGAAAAATGGCTATTTTCATGTCCCTTTTCATTTTTCTTTAAGTGATACATTGAAATTAATACAGTACAAACATTGTATCATCATTGCTATTTCTCTTGTCTTTTTTTGAGCCAGGCGCTATGGAAATATATATTAATCACTGTATTAACCCATGAAGAATTTAGCCTATATGGCCAAAGCTGTAATTTTTTTCTTTTCTGTAAATTTTTATATGCATTCAAGAAAAAGACAGAAAAAACAAACAAACAAGCAGGGGCCAGCAGTGGCTCAGACAGCTTTTGCAGATTTCTGGTACCTTTCTCTCTCTCTTTCCAGTGTTTTTTAAATGCCTTTCATCGCAGACAGAGGTAGCCTCTGCAGGAATAGTGCATCTCAGAGTTAATGTGGAACTTCTCTGACTATTCGATTCTGGGTTACAGTTGGAGGGATGTGAAGCTGCACTGAAATTTGAAGAGAACAGTTGGGTAATCTGCTCTTGAACTGGTTGACTTAACCATAATATGATTGTATAACCCAGATACATAATTATTCTTATACCTTCTAGCTGGAAATTTTGATGGAGGTCACTATATACTTTAATATCTACTTGCAAAGAAAACCCCCCGAAGTGATCATTGTTGGCGATGCTGAGAAATTTGCAACCCTCTAGATGCTGTTGGAGTCTACTTCCCACCAGATAATATGGCCAATGATCAGGTAAAATGGGAGTTGAGCAACCTCTAGGAGGTCACAGATTCCCTTACCCCTGCTGTGCAGCATCTAGATATTTTGTTTAACTTGCTCTCATCCCTGTTTTTATCATATAGCCCAAGGTAGGCTACATTCCTATATTCAGTTTTCTGGAAGAAAGCCCTGTTGAACTTAGTGGGACTTACTTTTGAGTGAATATGAACAGGATTACTTTTTTGTGTGAAATGGCAGAGCTTATGGATAAAGCAGAGGTTTTATTTTCGAAAAACTAAAACAACTGCTGTTGTTCCCTGCACAGCCATAACTAAACTCTTCAGCAAACGAGTCTAGAGGAAAGAATCAAAGTTTCAAATATAACCATACACAGGGATAATTTCACATATATTGGCACATTACTTTTCTGAGTCTCAGTTTTCTACAATAGAATAGGTGGGATAACACATTGCTCACTTATGAAGTAATTTGAGGTCATTGGGGGATATAATCTGTGTAAGCAACAAGCATTGTTTTCTGGTAAGGCAATAGCATGAGACACACACAACACTGCATAATATAAATTTCTTTTTAAATTCCAGTTTGCTCCCAGGTCACATACTCTGCCTGCGTGTCTTGTTCCAAGAAAGGAAGGAACAGAATGCCAAGGTTATTGTCTTGTAGGTTTTTAACTGATTAGCCAGCTGGAAGGAAGGGGACAGCCAAAACTACAAGCCACAAGAGGGGGAAAGCCTCTGGCAGCTGTGTTGATATGAAAAGTCTTGATCCTTCCTAGTTAAGACAGAAGAATGGACTAGCTTGGCTGGTATTGGAAAGAAGAATAGAGTGTTGCTACTTTTATAACAGAGGTTTTGTGCATCCGTTATTGTGCCTACATGGTGATGATGCTATCATTGCTATCAACACAGTCTGTTTGAGCAGCTTTTATTCAAACTGAAAGATTTGGTAACATATTTTAATGAATAGATATAAACATATTTGAACATATTTCCTTGACTCATGTGGAGCAGGCAAGCACCTACACAATACTAATTCTTAAGCACCTGGAAAAGGAAAATTGTGCTTGTAGCCTTATCTCAACCTCTTCCTTGATTATTTATTTATTTAAAATATTTTACCCAACCTTTCTCCTTTAAAAGGATCCAAGGCAGCCTACATAATTGAAAGACAATATTAAAACTATCAACAGTGAGTACACAATTACTAAAAGGATTTTTAAAAGTCATACTAAAAAAACATAAGCCAGCCCCCCGCCACACAAATTCAAAGCACAATCATCCATTTTAAAAAACCCATTCAGCAAGCTAGTCATTCGGGGAAAACTTGCCTGAAGAGAAAAGTCTTTGCCTGCTTGTGGAAGGACAGCAAAGATGGGGCCAGCCTAGCTTCCAGGGTGGTGGGGATTTCCAAAGACTGGGAGCAGCAACAGAGAAGGCCCTCTCCTGTGACCACACCAAATGCATCTGTGAGACTGGCGGAACCAAGATAAGGGCTTTTACTGATTATGTTAGTGCTCGAGCAAGCTCATAAAGGGAGACATCCTTGAGATAGCTTGGATCCAAGCCTAGGGCTCTAAAGGTTAGAACCAAGACTTTAAATTCTTCCTGGAAAAGGATTGGGGGTTATGTGCTGTCAAGTCACTTCTCACTTATGGCAACCTGCCAAACTCTGCATAAGACACAAAATTCAAGACTGCTGTATTCCTTTCCTAGTTACTGTACATTTAAGTTGCTAACCTATGTTGTACTGGAGCCAGGACTCAAGGTCAAAACTCCAAGGCTTTTACCACCTTCCTTGCACTTTCCTGCTCCCTGTGGCTTCAGTTGTCTCAGTAGTTGGGTGAAAACTAGTTTTTTGAGCAACAATGTATGGCTGTATACTATCCTTGTTCCAAAATATTTAGAGGTGCTTGATCTCGTGTGGGCAATTAAGATGATGTAGCTCAGACATGGAAGACCTTTGGTCCTCCAGATGTTTTACTTATTTTATTTTATTGCACTTCTATGATGCCTTTCTCCCAGTAGTGGGACTCAAGACAATCTAACATTTCAAGGTTGTTCTAGAATTTCCACACTGGCATTCCTTATGATTTCTATCCATTGGCTATGATGCATCTGACATCTGTAATCTGTTATCTAGAAGACTATATGCTTCTCACATTTGCTTTAGAGGGCAATATGTATTTTGTGGAACATATACTTTCATGAAACTATGCACTGGCAAGTAAAATAGCATGCCTGTCAATCATTGAGGTATGAAAGTTTTTAAACTGTAATACAGGGAGAAAGGGAAGCAAGACTGAGGCTGCCTTTGGTCTCAGTATGGGGACTTACTCTCTCCCTATTTTTCTCTTCTCAGCTTTTTGTTTTATATGTAGCTTCTTTGTGACTTCCTCCCTCCCAAGCCTCACATACAAGCACACTGTTGTTTATGAAGAGATCTTCTTCCGGGATCAAGGAACTAGTTGCCTGGCCTTGGCAGTGCCCACTGCCTGGATGCAGTCTACCAAGAGGATACTGACTGTTGTCCCACTAAAGCCTGCAAGTGCTTCTTATGATTAAAATATCTGAAATAATGATAGGTTAATAACCGGAAGGCTAAAACATGTAACAAAGATACTACGAATTTGGATTCATGAGACAGGACACATGATTCAAAAAAAGGAGAAGTATTTTCAATATCTTGGGGCTACAAGAAGGAACAAACAAAAGTGCCTTTATGAATCATTATCACAAAGGCTACTTCTAAAATTCCTCCAAATGTAACTTTTCCCTAGCAGACATTTACTCCCAGGAAATAACAAAAATAGAACAGCTCCCCTCTTTCAAGAGTAACTTTGGATGTGTTCATATGAATTCTGTTTCTTACAAGAGGGCAGTACCCTAGAGCAAATGAGAGAGGCCTGTAATATCCTATTAGGCTTTTTTTCCATTCCAAACTGAGGCATGATTTTAGGAAAGGAAGCAAATCCAAGAATATCGTTCCCTAGTAACCAACAGCAACAATCTGTTATGGACTTGACATGCAGTCAACATTTTCAGCAATAGAGCCTTGGCAGGAAGCATGTCAAGCGCCTTGATCAGCCGCAGAAGGATCAGCTTGAATGATTTCATTTACCAAGGGACCACTCAGTCCAAACTGTGCAATCATTTGTGCCATACATGGTTTTAAAAGGAGTAACATAGATAATCTAGCTCTTCTCCCAAGTTTAGGAGAAAGGTTGGAAGACTTAGTATTAATCACTGTGAACTCTAGAAGTGCTCAGAAACAGCAAGTCTAGAAGAAGGGAGAAGGCTTGTCCTTATATATCTCCTACCAAGATACATCTGAGCATCCCAGAAGGCCACCAGGACTACGACCGTAACTAGCCATTTTAGCCCCCGGGGCAAGTAGCACAAAATGCAATCCACCCAATTTTTTTTGTAATCCAGAGCTACCAAAAAAAGAACTTATTTAAAGGTGTGTTTAATATATGCAGCGTACCATACAACATAAATTAAGAAGCTGCCTTTTTTTCTGAGCAAGCAGCATAGTCTTACCAAATTCCTGCCTTCTTGGAGAAGAAAGAGGCTACCAAAACAAAGAACTTATTTAAAAGTGTGTTTAATATATGCAGCATACCATACAACATAAATTAACAAGCTGCCTTTTTTTCTGAGCAAGCAGCCTAGTCTTACTAAATTCCTGCCTTCTTGGAGAAGAAAGAGGCCTGGTCTACCTTCTGCAGCTAGATCAGCTATCTACCTTGATTCCTCCTCTTGGGCCATGTTGAGTAGAAATGTCCTCTGCTGCTTCAGCAAAGCATGTTCTATTAACCACCTGTTCTCCACCCTCCAGGTGGCCAAGTCATGTATGGTTGGCCAAGAAGCACATTTACTCTAGAGACCCTATCTACTACCATATTTGCAAATGGTGGTAGACCAGGCTAGAAATCCAGATGGACACATCTTTATAGTAGCATGGCTAGAGAAGAATTCCATGCAATTAACCTCTGACAGCTATTGACCCATTGACCAGGCCCAGGGAGATAAATCCTTCACTAGGAAGTGTCCTCCTCCATGCATGCTTTGCATTCTGCCACAATGATGCCGCTGCTGCCCTTGAATTTACCCATGGAACAGTGTCACTATATCTTTTGTAATTTGGCTCCTCCCCCCTATTTTTAAGTGAAATAAAATGTTTCCGTCTTATGTGTTTTTCATCATGTGATTGCGAGCAGGTTGGTCCTAAATTCAGTGTTTAGCCACTTGCATTGGCTACCATAAACTTTTCCATAATTGGCATCATTAGCATTTGGTCTTCCTTGCAAGGCTGATGTTGCTTTTCTGGAAGGAAGAGAGTTGATAGAGTTGCTGATCCCATGGCAGAGATAATAACTTCTATTTTGATTCTGGCTTCTAGAACTCAGCTGGAGCTGGCCTGGTGTCTGCAAGGCTTTGGCGAAACCTGAGGCATGTGTGTGTGCACACCACAAGGAAAGCTTGTGGCTGCTACTGTCTTGTTAGGTTGAACCACCACACCCATTCAAAAGACAAATGTAGGTGATTTGTCCCTGCAAATGCTTCCAAAGTACAGTATGTTAATTTATTCCCTACCTCCAGTTAACAAAATCAAAACCACATCTAATGGTAGTAGAAATAGCTGGTAGAACATATGTAGACAGAAAACTGCCAATTCTCCTTTACAGTACCCTCTGACCTACCGTTGCATTGTTTTGGCAAACACAGAATTCAGAACATGCATTTACAAAACTAATGCAAAATAATCCCCTAAAAGTAGGCTATGCGTAACTTACCACAAGTCCAAAACAGCGTAACAAAATCTCTCCAAGCAGAAGTGTTTTTTGGTAACTCCGCTTTGGGATATTGGCAGGCCTCAGTAGGGAATGATGAGGTGAAGTGTGGCCTTAACTTCAGGAAGTTAATAGAAAATGATATCTGTACAGACCACAGAATAAAAAGCTTAAGAGACACTTGAGTATTATGACTGTACAGGAGGAAAACATTTTTGAGACAATGATTTTAGACAAAGACAAACAGATAGGAGACCTGTTTACAGGCAGGAAATGCTGGGTGGAGGGAATAAAGACTCTGACCCAAGTCGGCTAAAATAAGGCTGCTAATATGCAGCTGAATGCTGTAACGTAGTGCCAGTGTGAGCAAGAGCAATGTAGCAAGAATGAGTATTTATTTATTTATTTGTCTTATACAGGATACCACCTTCTGCTCACTACCATTCACACATGTTGAAAAAACAGCACTGACAATTGTTTTGTGTTGGGGTGAAAAGTGGTTAACTTATTTAAACAAAGGAATCAGCTTCTGGAATTTCCCTTGCACTGTGTCATTTTGCGAATGGTAGTGAGCGCAAGAGGATATCCTGTAGACCATTTTGACTGCTGCCATTGGTGTTGTCAACATTCAGGCTACTCTTTGCTATGTAAAGCTTGGCATCATTTTTTCTGATGGCAATGTGGACACAACATTGTGCAGCAATATTTGGCCATTTCCGGACTTTCTGAATTCTGGTTACAGAAGCACAATATTTCACATTCATAATCCAGAGGGTTGGTATTGGTTTTTTTTAAGAATTTAATCCATTTTATCTTATTGTATATTTTGACGTTAGTAAAGCTTTTGACAAAGTGTTCCATGATATTCTGATTTGCAACCTAAGTGTGGACTGGATGGAAGAACTGTCAGGTGGATAAACAATTCATTAGAGAATCATACTCAGAGGATGATGATTAATGCCTTCTTCTCAAATTGGGCGGTGGTAACAAGTCAGGTACCCCAAGGCTCAGTCCTGGGGCCAGTGCTCTTTAACCTTTTTATCAATGACCTGGATCAGGGGGTTCAGGGACTGCTAATCAATTTTGCAGATGACACAAAATTGGATGGCATAGCTAATAACCTGAAAGATAGAAACAAAATTCAAAATGATCTAGATAGGCTTGAGCACTGCTCTGAAAATAAATGCAATAAATGCAAAACACTGCACCTAGGAAAAAGAAACAAACACACAGTTACAAAATGGGGGATACCTGTCTCAGCAATACTACAAGCGAGAGGGACCTTGCAATCGTGAGTTGAATATGAGCCAATAATGTGATGTGGCTACAAAAAAAGACAAATATATTTTAGGCTGCATTAGTAGAAGTATAGTCTCCAAATCCCACAGGGTACTCGTTGCCCTCTATTTGGCACTGGTTAGTCCTCATCTTGAGTACTGTGTCCAGTAATTGAGGCAACCACCTGGCAGATATCTTTTGATCTGCATTGAGCAGTGGGTTGGACTTGATGGCCTTATAGACCCGTTCCAATGTCATGATTCTATGAATGTATGCTGCAGCCACATTTGGAATGCTGTATATAGTTCTGATCACCAAATACAAATACACAAGACAAGATAGTGTATCTAGAAAGGATATCAGAGAATTTGAAAAAAATGCAAAAACGTGCAAGCAAAGTTATCAAGATCTTAGAACAACTTATCAAGAAATCTTGTGCTACATTTAGAGCTGTTCCATTGACTAAACTGTATGGAATTACGCATAATATGATGAAAGTGAGAAGGAAATTATTTTTCTGTCTTTCTCATAATCCTAGAACTCGGAATCATTCACTGAAGCTGAACTGTGGGAGCTTTAGGCCAGAAAAAAACGACGTACTACCCAGTCAGTGTATAGTTGAAATTAAAATGGTACAGAACACAAGCAGGAAGGTACATGTTATGCATATGGATTCCCAGAGGCAATTGACTGGTCACTGGGAGAATAGAATGCTAGTTTAGCTAGGGATTTGGTCTGATCCAGCATCAGAATGTCCTTCTCATGTTCTTACAGGGACCAAGTACCATCACCACAGTTTAGTGTGCTGTTTCTGTGGCAGGGCATCCTTCCTGTGTTTCCTCACACCTGGCCGAAGAGGAGTGTGCAAACTCAAAAAACTTCTCTACTGCCTGACCTTCTTCCCAGGTGCTGTACCAATGGTGGCCCTCTAGATGCTGGTCCCTTTGGCAGTGTTGTTGCCCGGGGGGGCGGGGTCAGGCTCGGGTGTGCGTGAAAATCTGATCTGGTCAGTCTTGGGTACCAGTCCTTGGATAAGAACGGCGCCTCTATTGATCTCTTCAGCTGAAGCCCAAAAGGACGTCTGGGAAACATAAACACAGGCCGCCACGGGCTCCTGTTTGAGGAGAGGGGGGCACTTTGCTACTCGTCTCGCTAGGCTGTCCTGCGGACTCCTCAGACTTGACGCCAAGCTCGCTGGCCTCCTTCAAGCACTGCGGCTGCCTGCTTTAAAACCAGCAGCACCGCTGCAGAAACAGAGCACGAGCCAAAAACCTCAACATGAGCTTGGGTGTGTGTGTGTGAGAAAGAGCGGGAGGAAGAAGGGCGGCAATATTCGCCCAGCCTCCCCCTTCTCTGAACCTAGAAAGTTTGAGGAAGCCTGGGGCGTGAGAGCTTTTCTTGGCCCTGGGCGACGTCTCGGGCGGGCTAAGAGCAATTCGGAATCCCCGTTGCTTTCTTCCCGTGAGCCCATTTCCCTCCTTTCTTTCCTGCTGACTCTTTCATCTTGAGCTCCCTCCGTTCTTTGCTCCGCAGCGCTCTCTCCTTTCTCTCCCGCCTTTTCCTTCGCCCGCCCGCCCGGCCAGCCAGCCAGGCTTTCTAATCCTTTCAGACTTTTGTCAGTCGAACAACCCCGCACAGCTGCCGGGGGTGGGGGTGGGTGGGTGGAAGGCTTGCCTCACGCCTCCGGCCGCACCGTTTTCCTTGAACGGTCCCTGGTACCTCGGAGGTCCGTCTCTCTCTCCGGAGGAGCCTGAAGGCGGAAAGAGTGGCGGGGGCGCGCACGGAAAGAGCGGGGCCCGCGGTCCTTGGGCGCCCGCCGCGAGGCGCCGCCTGTGTTGCGGTCCTCCCCCCCCTCCCCGTTTCCACTCGTGAGGGGGGAAGAGACATGAATGAAGGAGGCGAGCTGGGACTTTTCCTGTGCTGCTTATCAGTGAGCAAAAAACGGCAGCGGGCAGCATTTCTGAGAAACATCCTGAAGTAACTAAATCCCCGCCAGTTTCCTCTGTTATACAGTGCGGTCAGTACACCAAGACGGTCGTCGGGGTGGTGAAGCCAAGAACGCCATCCCGCTGGTTTAAGGGACAGCCAAGACAAGGAGGCGGAGGCGGTTTCTCTGAACTCTACTCTTTCCCACAAAGATCGCCTGCGATTTTTCTGGCTGCTTTAAATCTGAAGAGAGAGGGAGGAGGCTGCCAAAGGTGGTGGGACAGCGGGGGTAGGTGGGTGGGGTGGGAAGAGTTTGTTTAGGCTGCGAAGAGTGGAAGGAAGAAACAAGAGCCTTGAGTTGTTCTGCACAGCACAGGACTTTCCAAGCAACGGGGGCTGAGAATGTTTCTCAGCGTCTGATGGGGGACATTGGGCTGGGCCCTCCTTTCCTTCACGACATCCTCGGCCCAGGAGGTGGCCATGAACCGCCCCATCGACCAGGAGATGATCGAGCTGAAGACCCTGGGACTCGAGAAGCAGCTGGACCTGACGCGAGGCCCGCGCGGCACGCCCGAACGCCCCGTCCGGCTGGAGCGGGCTAACGCCTTGAGGATCTCCCCGGGGAAAGTGCCCGAGATCCTGAGCCGCGTGCGCCAGATCCGCCTCTTGGGGGGCCAGAGCGACCCCAAACTGACCGAGGTGCTGGGTGAAGGACATGTCTTCAAGCCCTTCCCTCAGAGTCAGCCGACCTGGTGCGATCTGTGCGGAGAATTCATCTGGGGCGTCTACAAGAAACGCCTGCAGTGCATCCGTGAGTAGCAGCTTCCCGCGGCACGTGGCGGCACTTTTGTCAGGCTTGCGGGGCGGGGCGGCGTGGACCTCAGAGCGGTAGTCGGGCAACAGGTAGCTTAGGGTATTGGAGGCTGGTGGGCTGCCCCACTGAGAGCAACGTGTCTCTGCTTTGTTCCTGATTGGGTTCCTTTAACATCCCGGCAGGCCAGACAGAAATTCAGCAAGGGAGCCCTCCTCATCACTTCTCTCGCTGTGGGATGAAATTGCACAGCAGTGTCTGTCTTGGAAGTGTTAAAGGCACAAGAGCCCTGCATGGGGAGGTTGACACATTTAAGAAACAATGAGGAAGGGTAGGTCCAAATGGGGTTTTGTACCGGGTCAAGGGTTGTTCGACAGTGGTGCTTGCTTGCTTTGAAAAGTTCAGTCCCTGAAGCATTGATGTTTATGGCTCAAATAATACATAGGATGAATATTGAACATTCTAACAACTTGTTTCAACATTGTCCAGTGGAGGAATTCACTAATTTCCAACTCTAACTTCAATGGTTTTACAAGCCCCTCTCTGACATGGTAACATATATTAATCCAATTGCTTCCAAATGTGACAAGGTAGTCCAGTTGAGTATAGACATTTTTCTGCTTACAGAAGCCCTGGACCTTTGCCCTGGTGTCCTACCACCACGTGAGGGTACCACTGTTCTTGGCTGAACATCTATGTCTAAAGTTTCCAAAGTTTGTACTTTCTGGAACATGTGTGAGTCCTCAGTTGATATTCACATTATATATATCAGAGCAAGATCCTTGCTGGGATGCCTTGTAGGTGCTGCACCATCTGGCTTGCTTCTTCACCCCGATGTTTGGGTCAAACATGGCAGTTACCAGGAACAAAGACATTTGATATTGTCATTTGATGTTGTAGATACCTTGAGTGACGAACATGCATGGTCACTTGTATTCACAACTGTTCCCAGTCAGGAGGCACCAGAAGCCCACATCCACTGGGAGAATGAACCCAGAATCCTGATAATGAGCAGTGGATCCTGAACAAAGAACCCTATCTACTATCATAGCAAAACTGAGACTGAACTTGCATTCTGTTTAGGAGCCATGTAAGTTATACAGGCAATTAAATTTAATGAGAATAAGGAGGACAGAGCAGATTATTTGAAATCTTGCATCTTGTTAATTAGAGAACATGTCTGGCAGAGGTATGTGGACCTTGTGGGCTCCCAAATATTGTTGGACTGCATCTCCCAGCAGTTCTGGCAAGTATAACCAATTACATGGAATGAAGAGAGTTGCTATTCAACATCTGGAGAGTTACTTGTTGTCTACCCCTGGTTTACTTAAGGGAGGAAAGATAAGAAAAAGAAAATGGAGTGTGGAGCGGGGAGAAAAAAGTGAACAAAGTCTGTTTTGATCGGAGCTGAATCATGATCTAGTGTTAGTTCTCTCCCATTTCAGCACTGTGGTTTGGGCATATGCATATGTGTATGTAATATATGAAGATGTGTGGTGTGCCATCTTAAACAGAACAGATGCATGATGCTAGATGTCCAGAAATGATGTCCTGTTCAGCTGGATTCACAAAGACAGTTAAGTGCTGGAGACACATTTTGAGTTTGGATTCTATGTGTTTTCCTTTCTTTTTGAGAATGTTTGCTACCACAGTTATATTGCTAGCTACTCCATGGAGAATACATCTATTGATGACGGCCAGTTATAATGGATTTACATGTTACCTTCAATGTCAGAAGCAGTGTACCTTTTAATATGAGAATTTGGGAAAGAGGAGTGAGGGGTTACTCTTCTACTGTTTGTGGACTTTGTACAGTATTGGCATCTGCTGATCACTACAGCATTCTTATGGTGTTTTCAGGATGTAAGAAAACAAGGTATTTGAAACTGGATGACCTCACAATTTCCTGGTAGTTAACATTAGATTTTGCACTATTTCCATATCCTAGTGGTTTTGTCTTAAATTGTGATTCCTACTAATCTCCTTCCTGGAAAGTATAATGGGTTGGAAATAGACCAAATTACTAACTTAAATGAGATTTAAATTTAATTAACATAATCTGGATCTACCCTAAAATCTCATATGGCACTAAACTGATGAATTCCATGCCACAGGGCAATGATTGTTATAGTGTGCCGTTTCATGTCACACTGGCAATATGTGACATGAAAATGTATGCTATATCACTGAAATCCCAGAGTAGACCCGTTCTAGATGGGTGATATATAAATCTAATAAATATACAGTATAAACAAAATAAAGTCAAATCATAAAAAACGGGCATCTTTCTTTAATAAGATTAGAAGGTGATAAAACATTGGTCAAAACCCTATTGGTATATGCATAACTTGCTACAGATAATAACAGCTAAGCTAATTGATGGTGATGGAGCATATCTCAGTTACATGTCTGGCTGCATGCCTGATTGCATAGCCAAGATGTACTGGAGCAGCTTATCAGTTAGCCACAATAAGGCCTAGGAAGATACACAAGCCTTACATGAACAACAATATGGTTTTGACCATTAACCTCCAACAGACTAGTTCTCTAAAGATTTGTATGTTGATCATTTGCATGATCAACATACAAATGCAGCACTGTTTTTTCCTCCTCGTGAAAAATCACAGAGCAAAAGTAAGCAAATTAGCATTTTACAAAGCTGAAGAAGAATGTTAGGTCTTAATCACACATCCTTTACTCCATAAATCAGCTCCATTTCTAATTCCTGTGCTGTCTTCTTGCATATTTTGACCTGAGGCACCCAGAATATTGATTTGGAAGGAACATAAAAAGGTGAACTACAACTGTTTTCTTGGTTTTCTGTTTCTCTTCTTTCTCTCTCTGAGGCAAGGACATAGGCATATCAAGAAAATTGTGATTTCTGACACATTACAAACTGATGAGCCAAATAATGAGAGGCCAAACAGTCTCTTTCTCTAGCGACACCAATATACTGTGGTAGGTGAAAATACCAAGTCTTCTCAGGTTCTGATCATTGTTGTGGTGCATTAGGAGACAGGAAGGCTGCTTTTACTCAGTTTTTCCCCATATACAATTTTTAAAGACACAGAAATTGTCAAGTAAACGTGTACCATCACTTTCATCTTTCCATCTTTTTTGCAGAAGTGGCAAACATGCATGCTGAACTCTGTATCCCACCAGTCCCAGCTAGCATTATCAACAGTGACAGATGATAAGGAGAGTTAAGAGCACAAAACCATCTGGAGGATCACAAATTCTCCGCCAATGCTTTCTTTCAAAAACAGTAAGAATATGGACTGTATAAGTTCTACAGTCTGATTCACTTCCAGACCTCTTGTGCTGTAGCCAACAAGAATAATGGCTGAGGTTAGTCTGGCTACTCTTCCTTCATTGCCTCCATGAAGACTAAGCAAAAGAAAATGGCTCTTAGAAACATGCTTAGAGTTTCTTGCCTGTGCCTGTTTTGTTGTTACATGCCATCAAGTTGCCTCTGACTTATTGTGACCCCATGAATGGGTGATCTCCAAAGTGTTCTGTCCTCAACAGTCCTGCTCGGCTCTTCTAATCTCAAGGCTATGGCTTTCTTTATGGAGTCAATCCATATTATGCTTAATCTTCCTCTTTTCCCGCCGCCTCCTACTTTTCCAAGGTTTGTTTTTGTCACAGAATCTTGCCTTCTCGTGATGTGCCCAAAATATGATAGCCTTCAGAGTTAGTTCAAGCTTGATTTGCTCTAGGAACCACTTCTTTGGCTTTCTGGTAGTCTCTAGGGCATTTGCAAAGCTCTCCTCCAATACCATATTTCATACACATCAGCTTTCTTCACTGTTCAGCTTTCACATCCAATCGTTGCTGCTTTCTACAAGTAGGATGCTGATCTGCATACCTTAAATTACTGATGTTTTCCCTACCAATTTTCACTCCTCCTTCACTTGAATCTAGTCCAGCTTTCTGTGTAATATGTTCTGTTTGCAGATTGAACAGATGAGAGATAAAATACACCCTTGTGTGACACCTTTGCCTACAGGAAACCATTCTGTCTCTCCATATTCTATCATAATGGTAGCTTCTTGTCCTCAATACAGGTTATGCATTGGATAATCAAGAGCTGTGGCACACCAGTTTCTTTCAGAGCAACACATAGTTTCTCATAATCCACACAGTTAAAGGCTTTGTTGTATTCTATAAAACATTGACTGGCCCATCTCCCACTCTGCTCCAAATCCCCCTGTCTCCTCATATATTTCTTCTCCCCCTCCAAGTGGTGAGTCAAACTGCCACTTTCTGGTGAGGGGCTCCATGATCCTTCTATAAATTGTGTGGGTTCCTGTGACCTCTGTTCCCCTTCTCTTCTCTGACACTCCCACTTTTCTCTTTCTCCCCCAAAGGATAGTTTAGAAGGAGATTGGTGTCTTGTTTGCTTTTAGGCCTTCACTTTAGGGACACTCAATTGGATCAACTAACCCTAACCTCAAACCTTCTTTGGTTATCCATTACCAGCCCTTTGAAGAGATAAATTTACTCAATCTCTGTTTCTGCCCATAGACCTCAGCCTCTGTATCTACTCCCTTCTATGCTCCAACTACAAATCCTGAAGAAGATTAAATAATTTCTTCTTCTCTTTTTTAATTTCCCCCTGTGATGTGCCCCTGCATGTCTCCTGATTATTTCACTAGCCTGAGGCCCACGATACATTCCCTCCTTTATGCTGCCACCAGTTGATTTCTGTCAACAATGTCTAATTAGAAAGATTGAGGCGCATGCTGTGTGTAAAGTTCAACAAAATAGGCTTATGGGTTACAGTTCCTATAAAAAAATTCTTCAAAGACTTTAAAGTATTCAGTAATTTTGTAATAACTTGTTTTACACTTAACTCTCTATACGCTGCACTCTCTCAACTGCCTCCCTTAACTCCTCACTCTACCACTCTAATTCCCACAGACTAACTTCTACTTCAGCCTCTCATCTCTGACTCTGACTAACTCACCAAACGCCTCTTCGCTGCCTCACCCCTCTCT